ATATATATCAGACATGCCAACCACTCCGATTTTGGTGGAGTTACTGTACTCCGTTTATTTAAGCAAAACTCCGCACTCCGATTTTTGGTTGAAAATCTCTGCTTTTTACTCATTTTGGCCAGCTGAAATAAATCGTGCATTTCTGAATAAAAATGATTATCCTCTGATTTAGATAAGAACAAGACCACTTCAGTTCATCCTGAAAACAGCGCTCTGAACTGTAGGCCCTATACAAAATAGTAATTAGCGCTCTACGGTCCACTAATTTCGAAAAAAAACCCAATTTCATTGACACCAAATCGCTGTCAGAGTTGCGCTCTGAACTGTATACGAAAAATTAATTCGCGCTCCACGGCTACTGATTTTAGGACGCGAAATACCACAATTTTTTGTGTCACCTGTGTATATGCTGCACCTATTGTTAAGCTCCAAACCATTCCCATAATGTTAAGTTTTTAATTATTTTTAAACATTGACATTATTTACAAATTTCAACATCAAACAACTGGAAATGCGTGTAAACTTCTGGCTACCGCAATGAAACGACGTCTCTTGCTCTAGGGAAATCCCCATTTTCATGCTAGACGGTCGCGATACATTAAATTTTCAACATCAGTTTAGTTTAATAAAATAAAATACTTAATGAGTATGTTTATCTATTTTAAACAATCATTCTATTATTATGGTGACTAATAATGGTCGGTATTAAGCTAAATATATTGGTTATTCTTGGCCTAAGTCATTACTACTCACAGCCCACTGTGCGGAGCATGCACTCATCATGCACCCCGTTTTTATAAACAAAAATGAAGTGGAGAAATATCTTGCGATACAAAGTTTACACATGCGCAGATGACGAATGCCTTTCTAACGTTAAATTCCAGTAAAATTATTATTACAACTTCAAGAAAACGTTTTTATAGCATAAATTAATTTTACAAGTTTTTATTCTGAAATTATAGTGGATCATTCTCTCTAACAGTACAAGCCACCAGAAACCAGACATCGAACAGCATGTTTCACCAAACCAGCCCACGTGTGTTTTTGTTGCGACATCATAAATGAAGCTGCTCACATGACCACGAGGATCAAACTCGCGAAAAGTAGTTTGGTAGTTATAACGTAATTATGAATGAATTATTTAGACAACCCAAACCATTGCTTGAATGTCGTAGAAATCCTAGTACAACAGTGTAGTGAGTATAAATACAAATACTAGACCTACAAACCGGTCCTCACCCTAGGCTAATTAATTGGGCTAGCATGGACCTAACCTGATTTTCGTGGCGGTTCGCGATCTGAACTTTTTTGGGAGTAGGTTAATGACCGGTGTATAGGCCGCACCACCCCAAACTTCGCGTATAAAATTTGCGACTTATACACTGGAATATACGGGAATAACAGAAAGTATCCTGTCAGTTTTAAATCAAAATTACTGTAGGTGATATTCCGATGTCTACGGTACACTTCTTGTGACTGGTGTGGTGTTGATTTTCTGCCTAGGGCCTAGTCTTGCACAGCGGTATTGCTGTTGTGAGTCAAAACGGTTACATTTTACAATTTGAAAACGGTTACATGTCTTTGAAATACTCCACATTGCCAAAACTCCGCTCAGAAG